TTTATTTTAGCAATTAAATTGGAATGGTCAAAAATACATCAAGAATTTTTGCAATTTGACATTATTTTGACAAACTAAAATTTGATCTTATTTTGATATCATTTTGATGTCATTTTGATCTTTCTGTTCTCCTTGGGGATTGATATATGCTTTCGAGTTTTACCCATATATCGATGTCTGGCGTCCCTTGACTTGTTTCAATTCGCTTGCACTAATGGACAAAATCAAATCGGATTTAGCTTTGCTGTCTTTCTCTATCCAGTCTTTCTCCGCCGCTTCTGATGCCGCGTCTCCGTCGGTTCGTTGTGGTTTTGGGCGTGCACCGTTCACGTATAGCCATTCGTCATTTTTCACTAATAATGCTTCCATCTGCATTTTTCAGCTATCGTAATTGTCTTTATTGAGTGCCTCAATGCGCACCAGCCCACCGGAATTCATCTTCGTTGATGATCGAGAATGCATGCGACGTTACGAGAATTGCACGGAAAACGCGATGTATTTCTACTGCGTTCTTAGAACGAAACTTACACTTTTGATACGCGTTCCTGGGCCCATAACCTGTTAGAGTAATTCAGGGTCAGACAGGATTATATAAAGGGCGAACGAACGAACGAACGAAGAATTGAAACGTTAGAGTATATTTTGAGAAATCAAGGACACGTTCATCGTCTCGAGATGACCACAGAACATGAAACAGTATAGTTAATAAAGATGGATCTCGGTAGAATCTATAACCGGATACAGATGGCGCATCGACAATGCCAACCGATATGCCGATTAGATGATCCAATTCGGCCAATCCCAAAGGGCTGTGGATCGCCTTAATTTTCCAACATAAACATAAAAATTAACAATAAAAAAATTATTTTAAATTATAATTATAAAGTACTCTTAAAGTACTTTTAAAAGAACAATGGTGGAAGTAAACTATACAGAAATGGAAACAAAATAAAATTGTAGTTACCGTATGAGGCGAAATAGTAAATAACATATCCGCATATATAGGTGCAAGTCCTGACGAAGAATTGCAAGAAAGGCGACAATTTCGCAGATGTAATTGTACCGTCATTCTATTTACTGGCCGCGTACAAACATGGTCTATCATTTTGGGAATGAAAGTTGATACAAAAAACCGAATCAAAGAAAAATTGAAAATGTTCTAGAATGAAGTCAAATTAAAAAAATATTCCATAGGATTCATATTCACATGCAAAGATCGAATTAAGATGTATAATGAAACAAATTTAGAGTCATCAATATTTAAAAGATTATTTCCAGAAGTACAATTAATGGGTTATTCTGGAAACGAAATGATATTTTGTAACATGTCCGACAAAACTACTGCCGTTGAGATGAACGAAGAAAAAGAAAACGATAAGAAACCGATATCTTGGTACCATTCAACTTTTATTCAGAACATTTTTTTCTATCTCTCGTAGTTTCGATGATATTCGCATTGAAAGCTTATTGAAATCAAAGGGGGACACTTCCGTGTGTTCTCTTGTAAGAATAGAACGGCTACCGATTAAGATCAACTTTCTTTCTCTCTACCTATGTAAATGGCTAAAGTTCTTATACATACATACGGCCTACGTAATTCCTTCGTTAATAAAGCCTGGCATTTTAGTAAAAAAGCCCTGTATTAAGAAGTTAAATTTAGAAATGGCTAACTTTCGTCGTCGTCAAGTCTATTGTGATGTGTCATGCCACTGCGTTATATCTCAAGGAGAGGCACTTAACACATACCGGAACCACTCTTTCTTCGCTTCGAGGTGTGTTGGAAAAAGTAATTATTGAATCATAT